CTGAATTCAGCCTGAGACTTTTTTTTCCTTGGTTGAATTCCCATTTGACATATTTTATTGATTGTTCGATGATCCCTTTTCAAATCCTTAGAAATTTGAAGCGAAGACTTTCCTTTGCCATTTTCTTTGATTATATAGTTCTTTTCATTCATTGTTGGTTCTTTTTTACGAGCCATAATACTAAATTCTAGTTCTTGCAAATAATCTCTTGACACTGCTAATTGCTATAACTACTGAAAAAATAGTAAATATCAATCTGAAATTGAAAATTGGAACTTAAATGCTTTCATGCTTACTCGCTACACATAATAGTACAAATTATTTCATTGGATAACACATATCTATCAATTTTACATTAAATATTTGACAATACCTCTTTTGCATATAATCTCAAGACGCAGTTTATATATGTGTGTGTGTGTGGTCTTCTTCCCATCGAGGAAATTATTATTTACCCCGTCTCCCCACTGAGATGTGATGTGTTACATGATCAGGTTTATTGTGGGGAACTCGAGCGTGTACACCCAGCCCAAGGCCAAAACGTGCCCAGCCATCGCAACCGTCGGTTGCGCTGGCCTTGGTAGCGACTACCGATCCCCTCCCCTCTCTAGTGCAATCGAGGTGCAGCCTCGAGTAGCTGTTCCTCAGGGCCAGGCACATCACAGTATCTATTTTCCGCGGACCGACCAACAACTGAGTCGCACTGTGGCCGAAGACAATGACTCAACTCTGAGATGATAAACCCTACCGGGCATGGAAAGTTCATCAGAACAATTACCATTAAAATATTTATAGGAAAGGGAAGCTATATTACGGCAGTGAGAAGGGGAGACTGAAGCCGAGATGCTAGGTCAGGACCAATAACATTGCAGTTTCTTCTTTAATCTCCAAAAATTATTCCCCGGTAAATCTTTCTGTACGAGTGAACCAGTCCATTTAAGTAATGCCGAGTGTTATTTCCCGATTTAACTTTCCATGTTATGCTCCACACAATTCTCGCATTGGTTAACCTGTTATCTCCTGTTGCGATGATTTCTAGGTACTTTCATTTTTTCTTTTCATTGTATTATTTCATTTTATTCATTTACTTTTCCCCTTTTCCTAAAATTTCAGTTTTGACCATTGGAATATAGATATCAATGTCAAAAATTTTCTCCTTCCTTTCTCATTACATGTAGTCTGTAGGTGTTCTTTCTGGGGAGCTGAGCTTTGTGCATTTTCATTTACTTCCTGGTCCATCGATCTACCGATTTAAATTCTCCTGTTGTCCAGCCGAGAGAAAAATTCTGTGAATCTTGGTACTACCTTGTGTAGTCAACAGTTTTATCATTGTTATTTTCCAGTCAATGAATAATCTCACCAGTAGTAATTTACTTTGGAGATTAAATGGCATCAAGACTGCTCGAAATTTCAGCACCATCCTCAGTATTATAGCTATTTTCATCAATGCCTGGATGATTTCAGCTCCTCCATTTTTTTTTCAGTCTATTCAGGACCATACCCAGTGCTCTAATAACGTCCGGCACGACTGTTACCTTAATATTTTACCAAAGTCTTCGTTTTTTTTTTTTTTTTTTTTTTTTATTTTGTTTTTCTTTTTTGGTTATCTCAAGACATTTATCTTTTTTTTTTCTTTTTTTTTTTTTTTACTTTTTTTCTACTTTGTGGTCAGCTGGATCATAGAATTTCACTGTCTGGCTAATTCTTTCTTGTTTACAACGACTAATACTGGATCCGGTCTACTGTCATAGATTGGGGGAATCAGTTTGAATCTCAAAGTCCGAGAGGGGCGGTATTTGCTTAGATATCATTGATCTGTATTGTAAAAAAAAAAAGACAAAGCAAACAGAGAACCTGTTGTAGACGAAACAATCACAGACAGGGTTACGCAGAAGATACTGGAAAGAGAAATGGATCTCCTATAATTGCAACTCAGATTAAATGCGTCAGGATAAATTATATGAAAAGATATTCAGAAGGTATCAGCCTGAAAAACAGGGAAATCCAAAAATAATTCTAACTTTTTAGGTCATTTACCCAAGCGTCGTGGTCTAGTATACGCTGACGGCATTCCCTGGAGAGGTGAAGCTCCACACCAAAAATGCTTACAAACTCAAATATAAACGACTAATATGTACTTATTCCCGACCTTGTAGTTATCGCTAACATCTTGTCTAGATTTAAAAACTCTACGTTTCATTGAATTTCACATACAAATCGATGAAATTTGAATTGGCTGATTTGTTTGGAAACATGCTTTAACAAAACCGTACTTTGCGGTTTAATAATTTCTTTAATTTAATTTAATTTTATAGAACTTCATGGTAAACATTATATTTTAAGAAAATTGACTTTTCTTCCTATTTAACAGCGAAAAATAAATTCTTAGGATTTCTTACTCTTGAGCATGCAGCATACAACTGGCCATGCGTAAATATTTCTTTCTGGAGCCAAATTTCAACTTTTTGAAGCGTTTGGTCTTGTGATTTGTTTATAGATCTCGCAAACGCAGACCGAACTAGAAAATGGATTCTTGTATATATAAAAAGTTAAAGAAAGTTATGCAAAAAAAAAAACAATATTGCATTTTTATTTTAAAAAAGTATTTGTTATTTTAATCATTAAATTGTTTGTAAAATAGTGGGAGTATGTTTTATGTTAAATAATAAAACTTTTAAGTTTTTTAAACAAAATAAATTCATGAACGCATCCTAGTAAAACCAGCTGTACTTTGTACCCCCTTACCTGTTTGCACTTCTCCCCCAAAATTTGGTTTCGAACAGTCAATGTATGGTTATCGGACGTAGGGGCTAACGGAAGCCACAGAATTTTATATATAGATTCCCGAACCAAGTCAATGCTTACAGACTCAAATATAAAAGACCAATATTTACCTATTTCCAAACTATATAAATGCTCATAGATTCAAATGCCAAACAACCAAATAAACTACGTCCAACAGCAAGGCCTCTGACCAGGAGGTTTTGAGGAGCGTGGAACCACCTCTTAATTGCTAGTGTTCCCAAGTCCACCCTGACCCGGGGTGGTAGCACCTGTTAGGGTCCCAGCTATGGGCAAATAGTCAACCCCCAAACTGGGAACAAAACACTATGAAAGCGTAAAAATAAGTTTTAATACCAAAAATACTTTTTTGTAAAAAATTATTACCAGAAATACATTATTACCAGCAATACATTTTTGAAAAAATAATATATTACCAACTATACATTTTTTGAAAAAATATATTATCAGCAATAAAAATGTTGTCGGCATTAAATAACCCATTGAGATTGATATGCCGTAAAACAAAACAATCCAGTCCATCCAAGCGACCAATATTTACCGATTCGCGAAGTCAATGTTTAATAAGATTTCTTGAATATCCAGACTAGTTGACGAAAGTAAATAAATATACTGTTTAATAAATTGATGGGGCGTCTACTCAAATATGAGTATCCACTAATAATAACCAAGTAATTAAAATCTGTCGGATTATTAAATAAAATAGTCCTCCCCTTTCTTTATAAATTGCTTTGTTTATGTTAGGATACGAAATTGAGCATATATGTCTATTTCAAGAACCAGAGAAAAAATTGTGTTTAAAGGCACTATACAACTTTGCTTGGTCACTGACGCACTATGTAGCCTAGAGGCTAGGTCAGATCTAATGATGGTTTTCCTGCCGTTAAATAAATGGTCCGTCTACTGAGATACGAATATCCACTAAAAATAACGTTTAAGTAATAAAACTCAGATATAAGCGAGCAATATTTACTTATTCCCAAACGAAGTCAATGCTTACTGATTCAAATATAAATGACCAATATCTACATGTTCTCGAACCAAGTCAATCCTTATAGACTCGAACATTAACGACTAACTATTCCTGAAAACAATCAATTATAAACAGCAAATATTTGTATATTTTACACAGAGAGAGAGAGATACTAGTGAATTGTATCCTCTATAATCTCACGTCTGTCCTTTTTTTTGGTGGGTGGGGGGGGGCAATTTGCTACAGTCATTATTTGTCTGGCTTGCCGTTTTTAATGACTATATTTATAGTTGCTTCATGTTTTTCTATCATTGCCTTTATATAGCTGATTTTCTTTATTTTTAGCTTTTCTAATTATATGATTACCTGTTTGATACAATAATTATTATATATTAAAGACATTTTTATGTTTAACGTTCTTTTTTATAGATACAAGTATTTAAGTAAATGCTCTGTTTATAATAAACATTATTAATTTTCATAGTTTATAAGCAGTAAATTCAACCTTGCCAACCGAACGATCCTTTGTGGCCGAGCGGTCAAGGCACGTCAGCATAAATGACAGTTCCGTATAGGATGCAGGTTCGAATCCTGTCAAAGGACGAATATTTTCTATGAAAATTTCTCGGACATTCAGGCCGGTAAATGTTATTTAATAATGTTTATTATAAACAGAGCATTTACTTAAATACTTGTATCTATAAAAAAGAACGTTAAACATAAAAATGTCTTTAATAAATAATTTGTCGGACTTTGTCCCTTTCTTAATATAATAATTATTATACTCTCGTTAACGTAATACAAGCCACTCAATGTTATTGAATGAGGTTGTTATAAAGACGTAAAGAGAAGAGGAACTGTTGCATATTACCAGAATATGTCCATCTTGCACATTTACAAATCTACATGTGGTCGTGCATTGAATACTGTTGCCATATCCGGTCTGGTCCTCCTGCTATTCATCTCGGGGTTTTTCACAAAATCCAAAGACGGATCTGCAATGTAATCGATCCTGACTTGACATCTCGATTTCAGTCTCTTTCTCGCCCACGTGACTTGGCTTCCCTCTGTCTTTCCTATAAATATTTTCATTGCAACCGCTCTGACGCGCTTTTTTCCTGGTACCCGTCCACGTAAGCTTAAGTGTGCTATCAGATTGACATCTAGGTCCCACCCTTTTATTTTTGAATTAGTTAAATGTAATCACCACTTCTATTGGAACAGTTTCTTTTCTCGCACTTCCCACCCGTTTCCTTGCTTCCCTTATAACTACAATCTTCAAAAGTTTAAATACAACGTCAATCGCCATCTTCTATCTTTTATCCTTTCCTCGGCCCCCGCTATACCCAGTCTTGTCTCCCACCTTCACTCTCTGTAACCCCATGCGAACTAGTGATATTCCCACCTTCCTTGGGGTGAAATGATTAAAAAAATGTAACATAGATACCGCTTGACGCTAAACATGTACAGGGTAAGATCGTAGTGGTCACGAACATTCCAATCGGAAGTCTTTTCCACAAAGTAGTAGATCTGGAGAAAAATCTGTCCGAGTGAAACGTCTTTCTTACTAGGTACACAGCGAATGAGGGTGACACCGTGTATGGCGGTTCCTAGCTGTGAAGGTCTGAATTAAGGCATCAGTCAGTCGGTTATGTGCCATGCGTGATACACTCTTAGGCGATCATGTATCTTTCGATACATGACTGACGAGGCAGATTTTTTTCCGCAGTAGGTTGCTATTTATTTCTGCGGTAGACCAGTTGCCATCCAAGGCTATAGAACTCGGTTTGTCCTGCTATTTACCCATATCTGGGGGGGGAGAAGAGGATTCATACCTTTTCCAAGGGTATTATATGCCTTTCGTAAAAAAAAAAGAAGCAAGCCATAAGACCACACACATTTTCCATACAGAAAGAACTTCGTAATGTGTGAGCTGTACCTGTGAGTACAATTTTTTGTATTTCTTTAAGGCATTACCTACCAGAAATCCCTTCAATGAGTCTATCGGAACCTTTTCCAATCAAACCGAGTGCTCCAACTACAACTGGAATTACTGATGTCCTCATGTGACACATTTTTTAGAATTCCATTTAAAGATACTTGTATTTTGATAGTTTTTTCTTCAAAGATAGATTTTATGATAATATATTATTATTATTATTATTATTATTATTATTATTATTTTCTTTGAGTTCTGTGTCAAATATAAGCAACAAATATTTTTTTTTGGACTCTATCTCTATCAAGCCTAGAAATTGAAAACTGTCCAGCACTTGCCCATATATATCGCAGCCGTATTCCAGTTTCGGCCCTCTCTCTCTCTCTCTCTCTCTCTCTCTCTCTCTCTCTCTCTCTCTCTCTCTTCAGGGTCCCAACCAGGGACCTAAGATCAGAAATGGCTTCATGGTTTTTTCCACTGATCATTTATGAAAAAAAATTGATCACACACATTTTACATAGATAAAGCCATTCGTAATGTGTCAAGCTGTACTTTTGAGTACAATTTTTGGCATTTCTTTAAGGCACGGCCTATCAGGAATCCCTTCAATGATGCTACCGAAACCTTTTCCAATCAATCCGAGTGCTCCAACTACAACTGGAATTATTGATATCCTTATGTGCCACATTTTTTACATTTCGACATCTCACCAATGGAATACGGAGGAAATTAGAAGACTGGTTCGTTACAATGTACGTGGCATGGCAGGTCTTAGCTGTGAAGGTTAAAACTGCTGGAACTAAGGAATGTAGTTCGTCCGAACGCTTTCCATCGAAATAACGAGTAGGCCTGGGTACCCCGAGTAGGCCTGGGTACCCTACTTCTGTAATTTATCCCAAGAATCTTCTTCTCATAACAGGAAGAAGCCGGCTCAATCCGCCCAGGGTGAATGCCGCATCAGTACAGTACAGTAGTAGTAAATAACGATAGACCAGCAAGAGGCTTGCGACGTTTCGTCTGAAGGAGTTGTAGGGTGTAAAATATTTCGTCACCCACAAGGGCGCGGAGACACTTTTGGACTCTATCAAGCCTAGAAATTGAAAACTGGCCAGCACTTGCCCATATATATCGCATTCCAGTTCAGTTTCGGCTCCAGTCTCTCTCTCTCTCTCTCTCTCTCTCTCTCTCTCTCTCTCTCTCTCTCGCTCGCTCGCTCGCTCGCTCGCAAAGGTAGAGATTAGCAACAGGAGTCAGGTACTCACTGGCACGGCACAGGGATCCGGCTGATTTTTCAGTATCTTTAACGATGGGGCGTATTTACAAGTTCCCCTTGAAGTCTGGGTTGAGCATAAAAGCCAATAGTCCTTCAAGACACAGGACTGCCATGAGAAAACACCCGTTCATCGCGTTTGGTGAAAATTCAGTCCACTCGATGATGATAGAACGTCACTAGAAATAAATAAAAGGGAAGCCGTGGAGTGTCATGAGCGTCTACTTTCTAAAGGGACAAGGCATTTTATGCTTCTATTACATCTTCTGGCTTCTGCTTCTTGAATTTATATTATTGTTTTTGTCGTCGTCGTCATTGTCTTCGTTATTCTAAAACCAAACAAAAGATTAACATGATTATAAAATCATGCAAGTACTTTTCTTTCTTTTTTTTTGTCTTTTTTTTTCTTTCCTTTCTTCCATTTTCCTCTCCTTCTATCTCCCCCCGTTTTTTTTTTTTTTTTTTTTTTTTTTCCTTGTCTTCTTCTCTTCAACGATCTCGTCTCTCAGTCATCGACAGAAATGGCCGCTTCGTCTTGTCGCGACCGTTTAGCCAAAGGAATTAAGCCGAGCGACTTGTATCACTTTTCGGACGGCTATTTGAAACGATGAAATCTAAGTTGTCGCTAATGAGCTCCTTTTGTCGCCTCGCAGTTGTCCCTAAACCACTCACTTAAAATCCGATTAAATCTGACAATATACTGTATTAAACATTCATGTACAGTTGACGCTCTCGAAAGGAGACGGAAGAAACGATGGTTACGTTACAACTAGTCGTCGAATGATGATGTCAGTCCCTTGGGTGTCCTTCTTCTCCACTACCTCATCGTCTTTCTCCTGGAAGGCGGAAAATGCTTGGATGGATAGGGAAAGGGCGTGTTAAACGGGTGAGGAGAGAAAAAATGAAGTTATAAGAATCACAGATAAAACTCGATAAGGTGGTAGCGAAAATATAATATTTAAATACAAGCAACAACAACAACAACAAATACAGCATGAAGTTGATAGATTGATTTTAAACAACAATGAATAAATAAATAAATCTCCCCACTTCACTTAGTTACTTCCTGCAGAGGTTAATCTCTCGGTCCCGAGTAACATTGTAAGCTGTGATTGGCTGATTTCTCGAGGTATTAACTCCGTCAGTTTTCAATGTGACAGAATAACCTTAGATAATAAAACGTTAATGATTTCAAATGGTGAAGATTTTAGCAGAAAGACCTTTTAGAATAATACCACGAACAATATTTGTCCAGGTCGGAGATAACAAATATCAAATAAACACAGCACTCAAGACGATGGTAAAAGCACTACCACAAAACAGAAAACCAATATTTCATATTTTATCTATAATAAGAAAGTGTTGTTACGGAAAATATTTTTCCAGTTATTTTTCGACTGTAGCAGTTTTAGAAAACAAATAACAAGTGGTCAAATATTGAATATTTAATATACAAAAAAGGATTTCAGTCATGGTCTATACTGCATATTGAGCGACTTTGGATAGATCTGGCCGCCCAAACTCGATAATCACTCGAAAAAACTTGAAAGATGTCTGGAGAATGCAAATAAGAGAGAGAAAAAGAGTTGGATTGATTGGAAAAGGTTCCGATACATGCCCTCTCTCTCTCTCTCGCTCTCTCTCTCTCTCTCTCTCTCTCTATTTTTCTATCTCTAGTTCTCTCTTTCTCCCACTCTCTATCTCTCTCTCTTTGCGATTCTCTTTCGCTCTGTCTCTCTTTCTCTCATTCTGTCTTTTCTTTCTATCTTTCTCTCTCTCTTTATTTTTCTATCTCTCTATTTCTCCCACTCTATTTCTCCCACACTCTCTCTCCGTTTCTCTTTCGCTCTGTCTCTCTGTCTCTCTCCCTCATTCTGTCTTTTCTTTCTCTCTCTCTTTATTTTTCTATCTCTAGCTCTCTCTTTCTCCCACTCTCTCTCTCTTTCCGTTTCTCTTTCGCTCTGTCTCTCTTTCTCTCATTCAGTCTTTTCTTTCTCTCATTCTCTCTCTCTTTATTTTTCTATCTCTCTCTTTCTCCCACTCTATTTCTCCCACTCTCTTTCTCTCCGTTTCTCTTTCGCTCTGTCTCTCTCTCTCTCTCATTCTGTCTTTTCTTTCTCTCTCTCTTTATTTTTCTATCTCTAGCTCTCTCTTTCTCCCACTCTCTCTCTCTTTCCGTTTCTCTTTCGCTCTGTCTCTCTTTCTCTCATTCTGTCTTTTCTTTCTTTTTCTCTCTCTCTTTATTTTTATCTCTCTCTTTCTCCCCCTCTATTTCTCCCTCTATTTCTCCCACACTCTCTCTCCGTTTCTCTTTCTGCTCTGTCTCTCTCTCTCCCCTCATTCTGTCTTTTCTTTCTCTCTCTCTTTATTTTTCTATCTCTCTTTTCTCCCCTTTGTTTCTCCCACTCTATTTCTCCCACTCTCTCTCTTCGTTTCTCTTTCGCTCTGTCTCTCTCTCTCCCTCATTCTGTCTTTTCTTTCTCTCTCTCTTTATTTTTCTATCTCTCTCTTTCTCCCACTCTATTTCTCCCACTCTATTTCTCCCACTCTCTCTCTCCGTTTCTCTTTCGCTCTGTCTCTCTCTCTCCCTCATTCTGTCTTTTCTTTCTCTCTCTCTTTATTTTTCTATCTCTCTCTTTCTCCCACTCTATTTCTCCCACTCTATTTCTCCCACTCTCTCTCTCCGTTTCTCTTTCGCTCTGTCTCTCTCTCTCCCTCATTCTGTCTTTTCTTTCTCTCTCTTTTATTTTTTATCTCTCTCTTTCTCCCCTCTATTTCTCCCCTCTATTTCTCCCACTCTTATTTCTCCCTCTATTTCTCCCTCTCTTTCTCCCCATTTTCTCTTTCGCTCTGTCTCTCTCTCTCCCTCATTCTGTCTTTTCTTTCTCTCTCTCTTTATTTTTCTATCTCTCTCTTTCTCCCACTCTATTTCTCCCACTCTATTTCTCCCACTCTATTTCTCCCACTCTCTTTCTCTCCGTTTCTCTTTCGCTCTGTCTCTCTCTCTCCCTCATTCTGTCTTTTCTTTCTCTCTCTCTTTATTTTTCTATCTCTCTTTCTCCCACTCTATTTCTCCCACTCTCTCTCTCCGTTTCTCTTTCGCTCTGTCTCTCTCTCTCCCTCATTCTGTCTTTTCTTTCTCTCTCTTTTATTTTCTATCTCTCTCTTTCCCACTCTATTTCTCCCCTCTATTTCTCCCTCTATTTCTCCCTCTCTCTCTTCGTTTCTCTTTCGCTCTGTCTCTCTCTCCCTCATTCTGTCTTTTCTTTCTCTCTCTCTTTATTTTTCTATCTCTCTCTTTCTCCCACTCTATTTCTCCCACTCTATTTCTCCCACTCTCTTTCTCTCCGTTTCTCTTTCGCTCTGTCTCTCTCTCTCCCTCATTCTGTCTTTTCTTTCTCTCTCTCTTTATTTTTCTATCTCTCTCTTTCTCCCACTCTATTTCTCTCCGTTTCTCTTTCGCTCTGTCTCTCTCTCTCTCTCATTCTGTCTTTTCTTTCTCTCTCTCTTTATTTTTCTATCTCTAGCTCTCTCTTTCTCCCACTCTCTATCTCTCTTTCCGTTTCTCTTTCGCTCTGTCTCTCTTTCTCTCATTCTGTCTTTTCTTTCTATCTTTCTCTCTCTCTTTATTTTTCTATCTCTCTCTTTCTCCCACTCTATTTCTCCCACTCTATTTCTCCCACACTCTCTCTCCGTTTCTCTTTCGCTCTGTCTCTCTCTCCCCCTCATTCTTTCTTTTCTTTCTCTCTCTTTATTTTTTCTATCTCTCTCTTTCTCCCAATCTATTTCTCCCACTCTATTTCTCCCTCTCTCTCTTTCGTTTCTCTTTTCGCTCTGTCTCTCTCTCTCCCTCATTCTGTCTTTTTTTCTCTCTCTCTTTATTTTTCTATCTCTCTCTTTCTCCCTCTATTTCTCCCACTCTATTTCTCCCACTCTATTTCTCCCTCTCTTTCTCTCCATTTCTCTTTCGCTCTGTCTCTCTCTCCCCTCATTCTGTCTTTTCTTTCTCTCTCTCTCTTTTTTTCTCTCTCTCTTTCCACCTCTATTTCTCCCCTCTATTTCTCTCCGTTTCTCTTTCGCTCTGTCTCTCTCTCTCCCCTCATTCTGTCTTTTCTTTCTCTCTCTCTCTTTATTTTTTCTATCTCTCTCTTTCTCCCCTCTATTTCTCCCTCTATTTCTCCCTCTCTCTCCATTTCTCTTTCGCTCTGTCTTTCTCTCTCCCCTCATTCTGTCTTTTTTCTTTCTCTCTCTCTTTATTTTTCTATCTCTCTCTTTCTCCTCTATTTCTCCCTCTATTTCTCCCCTCTCTCTCTCCGTTTCTCTTTCGCTCTGTCTCTCTCTCCCCTCATTCTGTCTTTTCTTTCTCTCTCTTTTATTTTTCTATCTCTCTTTTCTCCCACTCTATTTCTCCCCCCCTCTCTTTCTCTCCGTTTCTCTTTCGCTCTGTCTCTCTCTCTCCCTCATTCTGTCTTTTTCTTTCTCTCTCTCTTTATTTTCTATCTCTCTCTTTCTCCCCTCTATTTCTCCCACTCTATTTCTCCTCTCTCTTTCTCTCCGTTTCTCTTTCGCTCTGTCTCTCTCTCTCCCCCTCATTCTGTCTTTTCTTTCTCTCTCTCTTTATTTTTTTTTCTCTCTTTTTCTCCAACTCTATTTCTCCCATTCTATTTCTCCCACTCTCTCTCTCCGTTTCTCTTTCGCTCTGTCTCTCTCTCTCCCTCATTCTGTCTTTTTCTTTCTCTCTCTCTTTATTTTTCTATCTCTCTCTTTCTCCCCTCCTATTTCTCCCTCTATTTCTCCCTCTCTCTCTCTCCGTTTCTCTTTCGTTCTGTCTCTCTCTCTCCCTCATTCTGTCTTTTCTTTCTCTCTCTCTTATTTTTTTTATCTCTCTTTCTCCCTCTATTTCTCCCCACTCTATTTCTCCCCTCTCTCTCTTCGTTTTTCTTTCCTCTGTCTCTCTCTCCCCCTCATTCTGTCTTTTCTTTCTCTCTCTTTTTTTTTCTATCTCTCTCTTTCTCCCCTCTCTATTTCTCCTCTCTATTTCTCCCTCTCTTTCTCTCCGTTTCTCTTTCGCTCTGTCTCTCTCTCTCCCCTCATTCTGTCTTTTCTTTTATCTCTCTCTTTATTTTTCTATCTCTCTCTTTCTCCCCTCTATTTCTCCTCTATTTCTCCCTCTATTTCTCCCCTCTCTTTCTCTCCCCTTTCTCTTTCGCTCTGTCTCTCTCTCTCCCCTCATTCTGTCTTTTCTTTCTCTCTCTCTTTATTTTTCTATCTCTCTCTTTCTCCCACTCTATTTCTCCCCACTCTATTTCTCCCCTCTATTTCTCCCTCTCTTTTCTCTCCGTTTCTCTTTTCTCTCTGTCTCTCTCTCCCTCATTCTGTCTTTTTCTTTTCTCTCTCTTTATTTTTCTCTCTCTCTTTCTCCCACTCTATTTCTCCCACTCTATTTCTCTCCGTTTCTCTTTCGCTCTGTCTCTCTCTCTCCCTCATTCTGTCTTTTCTTTCTCTCTCTCTCTTTATTTTTCTATCTCTCTCTTTCTCCCACTCTATTTCTCCCACTCTATTTCTCCCACTCTCTCTCTCTCCGTTTCTCTTTCGCTCTGTCTTTCTCTCCCCTCATTCTGTCTTTTCTTTCTCTCTCTCTTTATTTTTCTATCTCTCTCTTTCTCCCACTCTATTTCTCCCACTCTATTTCTCCCACTCTCTCTCTCCGTTTCTCTTTCGCTCTGTCTCTCTCTCTCCCTCATTCTGTCTTTTTTTTCTCTCTCTTTATTTTTCTATCTCTCTCTCTTTCCCCACTCTTCTTTCTCCCACTCTTTTTCTCTCCGTTTCTTTTTCGCTCTGTCTCTCTCTCTCCCCTCATTCTGTCTTTTCTTTCTCTCTCTTTATTTTTCTATCTCTCTTTCTCTCCTCTATTTCTCCCCACTCTATTTCTCCTCCTCTCTTTCTCTCCGTTTCTCTTTCGCTCTGTCTCTCTCTCCCCCCTCATTCTGTCTTTTCTTTCTCTCTCTCTTTATTTTCTTTCTCTCTTTTCTCCAACTCTATTTCTCCCATTCTATTTCTCCCTCTCTCTCTCTTTTTCTCTTTCCCTCTGTCTCTCTCTCTCCCCTCATTCTGTCTTTTCTTTCTCTCTCTCTTTATTTTTTATCTCTCTCTTTCTCCCTTTCTATTTCTCCCCCTCTATTTCTCCCTCTCTCTCTCCGTTTCTCTTTCGTTCTGTCTCTCTCTCCCTCATTCTTTCTTTTCTTTCTCTCTCTCTTTATTTTTTCTATCTCTCTTTTCTCCCCTCTATTTCTCCCTCTTTTCTCCCCTCTCTCTCTTTCGTTTCTCTTTCGCTCTGTCTCTCTCCCCTCATTCTGTCTTTTCTTTCTCTCTCTCTTTATTTTCTATCTCTCTCTTTCTCCCTCTGTTTCTCCCCTCTATTTCTCCCTCTCTTTCTCTCCGTTTCTCTTTTCAAATTGTCTCTCTCTCTCCCTCATTCTGTCTTTTCTTTCTCTCTCTTTTATTTTTTCTATCTCTCTCTTTCTCCCCTCTATTTCTCCCACTCTATTTCTCCCTCTCTTTTCTCCCACTCTCTTTCTCTCCGTTTCTCTTTCGCTCTGTCTCTCTCTCCCCTCATTCTGTCTTTTCTTTTCTCTCTTTATTTTTCTATCTCTCTTTTCCCACTCTATTTCTCCCACTCTATTTCTCCCACTCTCTTTCTCTCCGTTTCTCTTTTCGCTCTGTCTCTCTCTCCCCCTCATTCTGTCTTTTCTTTCTCTCTCTCTTTTTTTCTATCTCTCTTTCTCCCACCCTTTTTCTCCCCCACTCTTTTCTCCCACTCTCTCTCTCCGTTTCTCTTTCGCTCTGTCTCTCTCTCTCCCTCATTCTGTCTTTTCTTTCTCTCTCTCTTTATTTTTCTATCTCTCTCTTTCTCCCACTCTATTTCTCCCACTCTATTTCTCCCACTCTATTTCTCCCCTCTCTTTCTCTCCATTTCTCTTTCGCTCTGTCTCTCTCTCTCCCTCATTCTGTCTTTTTTTTCTCTCTCTCTTTATTTTCTATCTCTCTCTTTTCTCCCACTATATTTCTCCCCATCTCTCTCTCCGTTTCTCTTTCGCTCTGTCTCTCTCTCTCCCTCATTCTGTCTTTTCTTTCTCTCTCTCTTTTATTTTTCTATCTCTCTCTTTCTCCCTTCTATTTCTCCCTCTCTCTCTCCATTTCTCTTTCGCTCTGTCTCTCTCTCCCCTCATTCTGTCTTTTCTTTCTCTCTCTCTTTTTTTTTCTATCTCTCTTTCTCCCCCACTATATTCTCCCTCCTATTTCTCCCACTCTATTTCTCCCACTCTCTTTCTCTCCGTTTCTCTTTCGCTCTGTCTCTCTCTCCCCTCATTCTGTCTTTTTTTTTTCTCTCTCTCTTTATTTTTCTATCTCTAGCTCTCTCTTTCTCCCACTCTCTCTCTCTTTCCGTTTCTCTTTCGCTCTGTCTCTCTTTCTCTCATTCTGTCTTTTCTTTCTCTCTTTCTCTCTCTCTTTATTTTTCTATCTCTATCTCTCTCTTTCTCCCACTCTATTTCTCCCACTCTCTCTCTCTCTTTCTTCCTCTCTGTCTTTATCGCTATCTTCTTAATGTCTCTCTGTTTTTGTTGTCTGTCTCTCTTTCTGTCTTTCCTTGTGCTTCTCTTTTTTTTCTTTATATCTCTCTTTTCTCTGTTTCTTTATCTTTTTTTTCTCTCTTCCCTTTTCTAGCGCTCTATTTTTCGCTTTCTCGCTTTGACTCTCACTCTGCCCTTCTCTCTATCATTTCTCTCTCTCTTTTTCTTTGTTTCTTTATCTCTCTCTTTCTCTTTCTTTCTATCTCTCTCTCTCACACACACACACGATATTTTTTATGTTTGTCTTTTGTTGTGTCTTTCTCTGTCTCCTTATCTCATATCTTTCTCTCTCATTCCCTCTCTGCCTATCAATGTTTGTATCTCTCTCTCTCTCTCTCTCTCTCTCTCTCTCTCTCTCTCTCTCTCTCTCTCTCCTCTATTCTGACCCTGAAACTAGTGAATGTTAAAAAGGATGTTTTATTCAAAAGTTAGACATTACAAGTTGCAAAGTCAGGGTCGTATTTTCTCTTTCTGATGTCTATGAAAAATCTGTCCATCTGTAAAAAAAAAAAATAGGTCCCCGCCGGTTGACTGTTAATAGTAATATAACCGGCCAAGTGAAGGTGAAGAGTGAAAAGTGTCCTATCATTAGCCGGATTCCTTGTTTATATATATATAAACTATTTTCTACCAGAGATCAGAGTGTTGTCTCTGTCCGAATTCAAACTCTTCTAAGCTGCAATCAGTCACGCTTTCTGACTGACACACTGACATAATAATATAAAGCGAGTAGAAAAAGAGAGGAAGAGGAGAAGAGGAGAGAGATTATGAAATAGAAACAATAAGAGATCAGAAATTTAGAGAAAAGGACAGAAAAAAAAAATATATATATATAGTTATACTCGTTTGTAAAAACCTTAGGTATTTTGGCTTGTAATTGAACAAACCAATGCCCAAGGGAAAATAAGGGATAAAAAAGAAAGAACTAAGACCATGAAATTGAGGCGAAAACAATCGTCCAGAATTCAAGCTCCAAAAGAAAAAAAAACTCCTAAACGAGTAAAGTAAAAGTAACTACGTAAAGTGCTCAATACGCTAAGTAGAGCAAGCCTAAATATGAACCTAAAGAGCCAGGTAAACCTAGACAGGTTTACCTGGCTTTTTAGGTAATATATATATATATATATATATATATATATATATATAGGGTTGCCCAAAATAGCCAAGGGATTTGAAAGTTTAGTTTTCCTTCGTGTATTTTATAAAGGTAATCGTGTAAAAAATATATGATTGAAAAACGAACAGGAATAGTGAGGTTTTCTGCCAAAACCAAGGATCCAAACTCAACGAGCATATTGTCACCATTATGGTATGAGAGATTGTCGAAGTTTTGAGAGTAAAGGTTCATTAAGTGACCTTCCATGAAGTGGCAGACTACTTCCGGTTAAGAACGAAGGAGTATTTGAGCGAATAAGCGAGAGTAAGCGATAGTATCAACTGAAAGGTGGTCTTCCTAGGTTTCAACGTCACTCCAATTCTCAAAAGCATCAACTTGTTTTCCTAAAAAAAAAAAACAATATGGAGCGACAGTTCGAATGGCAAGGGCTAAAATCCAGCTTCTCAGGTAAATTGTAGGGGAAAATAATTTATCACGGTGGTGGTATAAACAGGTCACCACCTTCCCCGAATTTGAAAAACCCTGATTTTTTCTTATGGAGTTATCTTATTTTAGCTCCGTTACTATATATATATATATATATATATATATATATATATATATATATATATATATATGTGTGTGTGTGTGTGTGTGTGTGTGTGTGTGTGTGTGTGTGTGTGTGTGTGTGTGTGTGTGTATAATTTGTATCACCCCATACATGGCAGTAATACCACTAAACCACAAGGGGTTACATGTTGTGGAATAAGTTAGGAACAGAAGCAATAATGATGAGGCAGAAAGAGAAGAAAGTAATTATGAGGACAGTAGGACGCGATTGATATTGCATTTAATTTTTTGCAGATTAAACTTGGCCGTATTACGGATATTTTTCTAATAAGATTTTTCGAATATTTAGGCCTGTAGGCGAATACATACATACACACACACACACACACACACACACACACATATATATATATATATATATATATATATATATATATAGTCATAAGGTATGCTATATTTATGGGTAAAAGTACACCGTATCAGAGGAAGAGCGTATGGAAATATAAAGGAAGACACTGCAGTCAACACCAAGCTTCAACGCAATCTTCAGGTCATGGGTGTTGTGTTTTGGCACAGCTATTTACATATGTTCGTCAATGGCGCATTATGGATAATAAAATTTATTGTATTATACTAACGCTTAGTGTGTATTTAGTAACGGTTATGTTTTAAATCATTCTATATATTGAGTAGGTATAATTGTACATCTGAATGTGCTTACTTTTAGTATTGTTAACTTTTTACACGTTATTTATTATAGATTACTTTATTATTTGTTGTTGGTCATTATTATTACATTTACTTGTGTTTATGTGAGCATTTGTAGTTTTTTAATTTGTTTATTTATTCACAATTTTTTTCTTGGGGGTTCGTTTTCGCATTTGTTTAGTTTCGCGTTTAAGCCAGTAAAACTTTTAAGTGTTTTAAATTTAAGCCTTACATATATATATATATATATATATATATATATATTCACACACACACACACACACACACACACACACACACACACATACATACATATATATATATATATATATATATATAGCCAAGTAAGATGAGAACGAGTAAAGTACAATTCCAACGTTCGTAACATTTAATTTTAAAAAAAAACTCAATACAATAGTAGAGCAAAATTCTTTATTTTAGGATATTACATTGAAAACATATCAAAATCGCTCCACAATTGAAGTCGTGTTTCGATGCGCATACAATGCATCTCATCAGGCGATTGTAAATTACTCCGATTGTAAATTACTCTAAATTGTAATTTACAATCGCCTGATGAATGCATTGTATGCGCATCGAAACACGACTTCAATTGTGGAGCGATTTTGATGCTTTCGATGTAATATTCTAAAACAAAGAATATATATATAGATAGATAGATAGATAGATAGATAGATAGATAGATAGATAGATAGATAGATAGATAGATAGATATGGGGGCAGAGTGATATAGAGGCTTTCTGGCTTGAAATGAAGAAGCAATATCAAAAATGAAGTTACAGATGGAAAGTGATAAAATATCCAATATACTAAAATTATCTATGGTGGAATGGACCAAAATAAAGAATACAAGAAATTATTTCAAACAATTTTTGCTGAAGACAGCAGGACAAGTTTTGGTCTATTACATTTTTTGTAATAAGTTTTTTTTGTTATTGACGGACTTGAACAATGAAGAATTTTTAGAGGAAATGAAAACAAAAAGGACATTTAGACTTAACATCAGAAAAAGGCAATTAAAATACCCTATGCATATAATGAGGAAAGATGGCTTAGAAAATTTGATACCGACAGTGCTTAGAACATATTGAAGGCAAGAGGAACAGAGGAAAATATCGCATTATCTAATGAGCTTGTGTAAATGGCTGACAGAACAGGGATTAGGATAGATAGTTATACAGCAGCAAGTGTGAAAAAGACTTTACCTGGGTTAGTAGACTAAAACGTCATATGAAAGTTCATCGAAAAATTACATACTGCATGAGGTGTCCAACATTACCACATCTGCACCAGAGACTGAAAGCTCCTACCAAGAATAACTGTTTTTGTTTGTTCGTTTGTTTGTTTTAATTTCACCCCAAGCAAGGTGGCAATGCCACTACTTGACAGGGGGTTAGTGAAAGTGAAAGTGAAAGTGAAAGACTGGGAATAAGAAGGATTGAGAAAAGGACAAAAGATGACGGGGATACAAGAAGACAAAAGATGGCGATTGACGTTGCATTTAAATTTTTGAAGACTGTAGTTATCAAGGGAGCAATGAAACGGAAAAGCTTTCTTCAGGTGGGAAGTGCGAGAAAAGTAACTGTTAGAGTAGAAGTGGCGGTTGCATTTAGTTATCTCAACAGTAAATGGGTGGGGCCTCGATGTCAATAGTCACTTCTGCTTTGCCCATGTTTGTTCCAAATAACAGACGAGTTTTTTTCTATCATATTTTGTAATAGGTTTTTCACGTTGACAAAATATTTTCCGTATTGAATGGGGAAAGGTAACTGTCCGCGCCTTTTGTGAAATCTGCTTTCGACTGGTTTCAGTCATTTTCAAAGAAGAATAAAATTAAATAGGTCCGTGTAGTAGTCTTTCGTCTGCTCCTCACTCGGAAAGAAAAATGGCCACCAAGTGAAATGCACGCTGGCTTTATATTGATTTCCTAAGCGTAGATTAGATGTGGCACAAGGCCGAATGTATGTGGAACCAAGTGAGGATCGAACTCACTATTCTGTCGTAACTGTTTTAGCAAGACAAGCTTGCGAACCATTACACTACGCCTTTTCCTATAACAATGATTAATGACTTCACTTTATCTAGCCAGGCCACAGAAAATGACAATTCACAATGTCCAATTTCGTTCTCTCCATATTCCCGTAAATTGGCCAGATGGGCATCATATCGCTGAGAAATTCTAACCCTAAATCCAAAATAATGATAACTATATAAATTGCAGACGATTGTCGCAGAAAAAGGAACATCTTAACTTTGGGTGATCTTGCTAACTGGCCATATGGTATTTCCTTTGTATATTCAAAGTCTTCATAGATGTCTTTCTGTAAAGATAATTGAAATCTAGGGGCGATCAACGTAAATAAATCCCCAAATGTTAGGCTTAGCACGAAACAGATGTTTTGCTTCTTTATCTAAAATAATTTAGATCATCATTTTCTGTGACCACATACCTTATCGATAGATAGCGTATAGCAAACAAAACGTTTGAATTCAAAGTTCTCCACAACTCAAGCAATTCGGACAACACATTAATCGTCTTTTTCTTATCGGCGAGAAGTGGATATGGTTGAGAATTTGGGTTTTGCTCAATAATACTTCATCTTGTTCAGTTAAATCTGGATTTGATTCTCCTTAAAACCGTTCTTAATTTCATGTTATTATTTTAAAACATAAATTTTAATTTCTTTTTAATTTTCTTTTCAATCATTCAACCTACTCTCCTGGGAATTTTAGCAATTATCATCCAATCTGTAGTCCCTCTAAATCATCATCTTGTAATTTCAAGCAATTAAACGTTTCAACAGGGTCAGCGCTCTGTTATAGTAGTATTCCTAATATTTGTACATTCCTTATCGTTTTTTTCGCATATGAAACTAATCTTGTTTGTAAAACTATCAGATGCAAACATGGACAAGTGGTCGGAAGGGATAAGGGAGAGAATAAGAAGATACAGGCAAAATGAGAAAACGTTCTTGAGGAGAAAATACAAT